TGACTGAGGACATGAGGAGCGTTCACATGTCTAATGATCTTTGTGCAACAAAGCTCCCTGGAAAGCATCGTGGAGCGTGTTAATTTGACCTGCTGTCAAATACTACCCTACGTGTTGTAAAGTGCTCAAATGTGCAAACAATCAGTTTCCATCCCAAGATCAAAGAGCAGAATGGTCTTCGGGTGAGTCATCTTTTACTTTGTCATATATTATGGATGAAGTCGTTCACAATACTGACTTTTGCTCACTTAGGGTAAATTTTCATAAGAGTTGGAATGAAAACATAAACTAATCCGAAGCAACCACGCTGTTGTTGTGCGCAGTTATTCATCTTCCAGTAGATTTTTAAATAATGCGGTTTCATGACTATCATACCAAGTCAGATGAAGACTACAAAGGGTAAACCAGGTTGTCGGCCACTTACCGTAGAGTTAAATAAGAGTAACCACGTATGTCTAACTTGTAACACAGAACCCGGTGAACTGAAATGGTAAACGGGGATTTCATTGTGCATATTATACTCCATGACGTTGCAGTGAGTGTTGATCGAACCGGTGCCGAATTCGCTCGAGAGAGCCTTGAATGTCATCATGTATGTCGACAATATTGTCGTCCATAACTAAGCCGCAACCTAAATTTGTCTGAGCTACAAAATACCGTTGAGCCCACGAATTGGATCTTGGAATGGAATAGGTACAAACCCAACAACTTTAAACGATCTTCTTCGTCGTAAACTTAGAAAAGGAAACAAATACCTACTTTTCAAAAACAAATCCTGTCATTAAATGAATTCGAAGGTCAAACATCAGAATGATTGCTTAGATGGGTTTTGGGCTGTGCCGTATACCACAAACGTTTCCTCGACGGTTGCATTACCATCACAGAGCCGTTACATGCCTAAGCCATGATGAATCACCAATTTCAATGAGCACACGATTCCCCGGAAGCCCAGACCAAATTTCAGTCTGTCTTGACCAAGCGAATTAAATTATCGATCATATGCGATACAAATCTCACGATGACCGACAAAGATCACCAGACATCTGTTTCGCTCTATTCGGGACTCGTCTACAGTGAATACTTTTGTATCCCTGTCAGGACTCGATTATTAACAGTACCTGCTGGCTGTAAACAATCAAATGAATAATTTCAAATTTGTTACCCTGAAATTAATGATCATTGGAATATGCGTCATAGTCGTGAAAGGTGCCAGTGGTGTGAACAAAAGCTGTTCTAAAGCAAGCTGGTAAAGACGCTGAATATGCCAATAGTATAGTCTTACCAAATGAAAGAAAATACCCTTCGACGGTGAAAAGAAATACCCTGCAACTGTGTGAATACTCAAAACGTAGCAGACCTCTTTGATGAGTCATATGATCTAAGCATAAAGGGAATGACAAAACTGGGAATGTATTAAGAAAAGCAAACATCCCATAGGAATTCTGGGTTTCGGACATTTGATCTCGAAGAGCAAGACTGAAATGTGATGCACACAAAAAGAACTATACGGAGGCAGCCTGTCTTGACAAGAAGAGAATATTCCTATCAGTGTGTGTGCATGCTGGAATGGAAGGTGTACGAATGCTGTAATTCAAGAATAAATCGCTTTGTGCACTGTCACGGATGAAGATTTAACAGCCGTGTAATCACTATACCTCTCATGTGGAACAATGTAGCACAGCAAACTTGACATGAAAAACCTTTAATAATATTTGAACAATCAAAAACCCAACTTTCAGCAAAACTGTCTGCGGATAATAAATGAATCAAAGCCTGCGTTTGTGAAAAAATGTAGCTGAAGAAGGAATGACAAAATTCGTGCAAGCCTCAGCGTATGTTTATGACGAGAATGGGTTCACAAGGTAGAAAAACACTGAATAAGGTCAGTACACTGTACCTGAGAACAATCAGAGACACCGTTCTCTAAGAACGTTTTGCAAGCTTTACAGTGCATGGTGAACATATGTGTTATAAGGTGTTCCAGACTGACAAGACCGTATACGAAAGGAAGTTTGAGGACGTGATTAAGGTTCATCTTACATGAACTGGGAAAATAAAATATAAGTAACAGAGGATGGAGGAAGCCAGTGAGGTAAATACCAGGTCTAAAATACATACATTGTAAGGTGAAATAAGATGATAACTGAATTAAGTTACATACGATGAAATACCAGCTTTCTGGCCTTCCGGAACACGTTTGCAACGTAATCAGACCAGTTGAGGTCATAGTGAAAAATTACAACGCACGGATAGTTTTCCTTCATGTTTCGGAGAGAATAAAACGAAGTAAAATAGGAAAGTAAGAACAATGGAAATAATAGAGTGTTTAGACTACCCCGGGGATGAGCATAAGCAATACTGTGTTGAGTCGAAAGAGCCCTAAAACTGGAACCTTTGAAATACATTTAAAGTAATTGAGACGCAAAGAATGGAGTGATATTTGCAGCAGTTTTTCTTTGTTGTTGGATTGATTGAAGCCACTGGCCGTCATTTTGGAACACCTTGCTGTGAAACACATGGGACAAGACAACGGCATATTCTGTCAGAGTAGCAGCAGGCTAAACTCCATCAGTGCCTCCTTTTTGTTTACATGGATTAGTTCATGATAAATTTCCGTAGGGGTAATGAAGGAAGTTAGCACAGGGGCCTGCCAGGTGTTCAGGCTGCTTTATTGTGAAACACACTGTGGTGCATCCGTAACTTCCGGGGAAATTGCCTATTGGTGAGTCATGAGTGTGAGCTTCATAAAATGGAACAACTCAGGGGTCGACAACTCCACAATTGGGATATTAATGCGGAGTCACCAAAACCAAAATCGCTAAGTTGTTAGCGGACTGAGGGTGTAATGATTTGCATGGAAATCGCCATATCCGAATGCAGCAGAACTGATTAAACTGTCTGATTCATATGCAGTCCACCATTGCCTCATCAAAGAAAATCACAGACCGGCATTTACTTTTTGAGTTCTAACATGCAACACAATTCGGAAAACGTTAAAGATTTGATAAAAACGGTAAGGTTCTTTTACTCAAATGATAGACTCACCACCTGAAATATTCATCACCTAAAACACAACGGTTCCGCCAAAAAATAATAAGATAATCCATGAGTAGGCAGCAGCAGAAATAAACAACAATGAAACTACATTGTGCTCATTATTTCCAATACATCATGCATCCATATAGGAAAGTACCAGTTATTTAATATTTTGCGAATGCAAACCATTTCCGAGCAATCTCATAGATCAGGTGGTAAAAATGCGGGGATGACACCTCCGCCAAGGAATGAGGTAAGACCGAATGCGGCACAAAACAGCACGATGTGTTACTCAAGGATGCAAACTACACGGAAATCAAGAATTCTCCTGGTAGAATCTAAAGGTAAACACAATTAGCTAACATTCAAAAAAGTGACATAATGGTCGACGGTATTATCCCCACTTGCAGTTGGTTGCAATAATTCCTATTCATGTTTATGATCTGTTTCATTGATCGGGTAATTAATTAGTTTATTGTTTGGCTGTTTTTGCTTAGTCGGTTGGTCGATTGATTGGAAGATGCTGTCTTCCATCAATCATGTCACGAGGACTTACTCTACAA